GTTAAGACAATGGGTATCTTGTAGAAGCTTGTACCTGTTCAGTACTGTGTCTGTGTCCTTGACAGGAAAAGACCATCTCAAGAGGTTAATCCCCTTTCAACAACACTATGAACTTATAAGTTACAATCTTTATGTTTTGTATTGATTGACAATACTCATTGTCTAGATTAGAGTAAAATTGCTCATTGGAGTTGACATAATATATTTTTTTTAAATTTTAGGCTTCAAGTTTTGCATCATTGGGTAAGCCTCTATGTCATTACTTTCATTTGTAGAATGGTTTCTTTCCATTATTTTTAGTGCCAGGAAACTAGAAATGGAATTTACTTTTTTTTTACATATTATAAATTACAAATTCACGTTGGTTGGGCTTGTCAGTTGTTGACCTTCATGAAAACATTCTTCAAAGATTACAAGATATGCATGATGTGAAGTAAATATAATGAACAACTTTATTCAACTACTAAAGCAAGAACTTGTTTGATGAAAATGCTGCCCTACATAAACAACTAGCCCCCTCACTCATTGTCCAGCATTATTTTAAAGATGTTTCCATTAATAATATATTAATGTGGAGGTGTCAAGAGGAAACACTAAACTAGAGCTGCTTCAGTTACCCTGTATAAAATATTTTACAGAAATGATACTTTTTGCTTTTAATGCAACAAAGTATAAATTAGTCACACTAATGTTTTAATGGTGTGTAATATTTTTTGAGTTCTTTGGAATCAAACCACATTTTTTTGAAATAGTGTATCCAGTCAAAATACATTTTCCTAAAGTGAAGCTTAATTTACTCTGAATATTTTATAAATTCCACAAAGAATTAGTTTTTAGTAATTATTATGTAGAATATAGAAGCAGCAACAATATTACCATGTGTGTATGAGAGGGGGGTTCCTATGTGTCTTTAAACACCATGCTTAGTATAAAAAGAACAACAGGGTCACCATATATATAACAGTAGTGTTACCATTTGTTTCTACTAGATAGCATTTGTAAGATACTGCAACAGATTTCACATATATTCTTCTTATTTTTCTTGCTTCTTTTATGATTATTTTTCTTTCTTTAACATGTGAGACAAGTAGAAGGAGGTTAAGACTAGTAGATAGTATATCCCCACTGCTTTGTGGGTCCTATTTTTGCAGTCATCTCCAAAATTCATGGCACATCTTATATCCCACATCACAGCCTGTTCCCTGGTGATTATTTTAATACACACAACATTTTTGTTGTAGTTATTAAGGCTTGTTTAGATATTTAAAGTGTTTTTTTTATCACAAGTTTGTTCTTGCTATTTTTAATGCAGTTCTTCCTTCTTTAATATTTATTTAACTGTTGAAATAATGTTTTTACATACACATATAAGTGTGTGTGTGTGTGTGTATTACAAAGCATATGTAACATACACAACATTTGAGACACTTATGTGTACTTCTTAATCGATAGAACATTTATTAATGTATGTTTGTGCATATAAATATGATTTAAATGATTTGAGATAAAGGACTGTATATTTTAATAAAAGTGCATTGAGTTACAATAGTCATCACCAATTGGGAAATTGTCATCTTATGAAAAAAATTTAGTTATTTTTAATTATTTCCTTTTATGTGCTTAGAAGAATTAATATAGGATCACTATAATTTTCAAGGCTAAGGAAAGATAGTGGGAAGTGTTTTCAATGAATAACAAGTGGTAGGCTCCAGAATCAGATAGGTTTGTGTTGCCACAAGAAGACTTGTAGGACTGTGTATCATAATAGGAAATAACAAAACATTGAAAAGTTAGAGAAAAAGAGCTTGAACCAATACAACTGAACCTTTGCTGGAATCTTGATTACTGGTTTAGTAAACTGGTTGGTGATGTCATATAGAAGGACTGCACACACTCGCATACATGACCTTCCACTTTGAGTTATTTCTGTTTTTAAGAACTTCTATGCACCTGCTGCCTCTATAATAATTAGCTTTATTGTGTATATGTTTCAGTTTGTTTGTTTTTTAATCATGCTAACAATCCCAGTCAGAAAAACAAAACACATAACTATGTCAATTAAGACTTTGGAAATAGTCATTAAATGCTGGGATATATGTTGTGAGATAGCAAATTCTTTTTGTTTTTATGGCTGTGTTTATTGTTCTTATATTATTTCCTTCTATCGTTTAGTTTATCTATGAATTTTTAGTTGCATTAAAATGTGAACTCACCTTCTGCATGATTATTTGTATTTTAAGTAAATATATATATATGTGTATGATGAAACTGACACTAGCTTCCCTAGCAGTGATGTACAGATATGTTTTAATCTTTTATCACCAATATGGCACCAAATATGTAGCATGGTTTCTCAATTATATGTAGTGGATTCAGGATTCTTTTGTGTATTGCCAGTTTTATACAGAATGGTTTTGATTTCCAGTAGTTTCCCGTCATTTTTGATGGGTTTTACACTAGTGTATATATAACTTACATTGATAAACAACTTGTAATTTGTCTTATCTGATCCAAAGTTCTTGTAAGAAATGAGAATGATGCTGGGAAATGAAGTACCTTAAACTTGCACTATAGACATCCAGGGAAGAAGTTTTATGTGACCTGCATGTTCAATATGCAGATTTGTCTGTTTGTTGGAAAGGGTTTCTGTTCATGTTGAAACTAGCAGTTGATCCTTTTTCTTTTCACCTGCTCATTGGTTTAATGTTCCTTCCAAAAGTTGGTTTGTGATTTCTCATTTGTCTTTTTTTTTTAAGTATTAAGTATATTACTTTTTAAACTAAAAAATGTTTAGTCACAGTATTTTTGACTTGTGAAATATACTGCCATCCATTGTATCTTAATTTTTAAGTTGATGGAATACTGTATATAATACACAAATTAAAATATAATAAACACAGTTTTTGTTTCCAGTAAGATGCTCAGAAACAGTTCTTGTGCATTATTTTCCTTACCTAGTTTTATGTATTCAGAGTCCAAAATTCACAAATTTTCTAATCAGTATTTCACAAAACTTCTACTAGTCCAGCCAAAGAACATGTATATACATATGTTAATTCCATTTTATCAATTGCACATTTTGATTTTTTTAAAGAAAGACACAATTGCAAATATGTTTATGTGTAATATTAAACAAAACTCTTTAATTGAAAATGAAAGTTTTTGAGAATGGAGGAAAAACAAAAATATAAAATAATAATGTGACTTGAGGTTACTACTTTAATAGTGACCAAATAAGTAAGTTATTTCTTCATTGAGATTTAATATTTGTTGTACTTTGTTTGGATTAATTCTGACATTCCAGGACCCTCCTTTTCATTTCAGACATCATAGTAATTTCCATAATGTTTAGAAATAGGCCAGGGATCCACAGAAAGCTAGAGGCTTTATTTGGGAGATTTAAGTGAAAAAAGATACTTTCACCAGATGAAAACACAACTATGGTTTTAGGAAAAAAGTATAAAAATACATATTTGATGAGAAGATAAAATTGGAAAAATGCTCAACATTTTAATCAGCCCAGATACTGTTTACTTTTAATGTAACAAAGTATAAATTAGTTATATTAGTTTAGTAATGGTGTGTTCTATTTTTTGAGTGCTTTTGTATCAAACCACATTTTTTTTGAAATATTGTATCCAGTCAAAATAAATTTTCCTAAAGTGAAACTTAATCTATTCTGAATATTTTAAATGCTTAATATAAAAAAAAAACAGCAGAGTCACCATATGTAATATACAGGATGGCCTAAAATTATCTGTAAATTATTACAATTTAATAATTAAATAACTAAAGAAATACAATCATGCAGTTTTCAACATCTTGTAGCCCAACTCAAACTGTTTTTATTTACATGTCAGTAGACTTCTAGGGGGTGCACCATTAGTGGCTCTCTGCACTTTTAACTGATATTCAATTTCAGTCCATGTTCACTGCAACATATCCATAGTTACAGTGTTGATTGCATCTGTTATCCTGGTCTTTAATTACACGATGTTCGCTATAGGTATGCAATACATGACATACTTAACATACCCCAAAGAAATAAATCTGGTGGAGTAATGTCTAGTGAACACAGAGACCACAGATTTGGCCCACCCTACAAGCCAAATGACACATTGAGCCTTTCTTTTCATGGTTGCCATTTTATGGGATAACACTACTCATAGAGTGAAAACAAAAACACATAATTAAAAACTGTTTGAGTTGGACTAAAATTGCATCATTATATTTTTTTAGTAATTGAATTCTTAAAGTTTGAAATAGGAAAGATAATTTTGGAACACCTTGAATAACAGCAGTGTTACCATTTGTTTCTACTAGATGATACTTGGGATAATTAGGTTATTGTTTTGGTATTCTACTCTACCCATGATTCTCCTAGCTGGTCAGGGCCAACTAAATGATGCAAATTTTGAATTCTGTATGTATTTGAACTTGCACCCTCAAATTGCATATAGAAAAGCTATTATTGGTAGCTTTGACTCAGTTGTGAAGCTTTTTGTCATTACAAAATTGGTTGTTTCATTGGCATGGACTTTTCATTCAGTTTGAAGCTGCTTTCCTTTCAGTTGAATTGGATGTATTGTTCTACTATTTGTCACTGTCAGGTCACAAATTTTGGACTTCTAGTTTATAAAGTTAAAGATTAAAATATAATCAAAATTGATCTTCCAAGTGAACTATAAACACCACTACTTAGCATACTATATTTAAAAATACATCATTTCACATATATTTTACATTACCTCATAAAACCCATTTAAAAATTTTAGTATCCTAGTAGTTTTGTTTTTTTAATGTTGTAGATGAGACCAGCAGGTGTAACAATGATTATATCTTGGTAATTATTGTGGAATAACTTAATGAAACAATAGAAAAATGTTTTTTCTGTATATTTTTATTTGCAGTTTTTTCAAAATATATAATTGTTGTTTATTCAGCTGTTGGTGTAACAAGTATGATTATTGTCTCAACTAATTTTCTGTTGTTTATTGCAGACCTTGAAAATATTCCAGATAATATTAAACACCTGAAAGCATTGGAGATTGTAGATTTTAGTGTAAATCCACTTACAAAGTAAGTATTCTCAAAAAAAGTTAATATTAGATTTGATTTAATTCTGGAAAGTTTTAGATGTAATAAAAGGTAATTATGTGTTGATTTGAAAGATTAAAAATATTGATACATGTAGGTATATACTAAATATATTTTAATTATTTTTGTCAGTAGGGAAGTATATACTTTGATTCTGAAAAATATGAGGTGTTAAAAATCAATTGAGGTTTGATTTTTGAGATAAAAATAATAGGAAAGTAAAATTATTTTATTAGATCTGAAACATCTATTTGTTTCCCTAAGTAGAAGGTATGAAACTTTATGTTGAATACAAAATGAAATTTTAACAGTAGAGAAATAAATGATTTTGGTGATATTTTTACTAACATTAAATATATATATATATAT